CAACAAAGCCATTTCTTTAAAACCTTCTAAACGAAAAAAAAGCAACAACAGCCAACAACAACACACAAAAAACTCCCAAAAACAGTCGGATTCCGTGTAAAGCAGTATTCACCTATTTCTCTGTGTGGACTGTACCGCGGGTACTGATGAGCGAGCGAGGCTGGACAGCGCAGAATGAGCAGCAGTATCAGTAGAACACTGACGGCGTTCATGGTGCAATAATTGTTTATCCTTCGAACGTCACCACTGTGTTTGGGGTCCACTCAGGTAGAGATTCTAGATCAGATGGAATTTTGCGTAACTTAAAAACTCCACTCCTTGCATCTCTGTAATTAGTCACTACTCTCAGGTCTCATTCACACTCTATTTCGGATTTCCGAGAACACTGGGGTTGTTGGGGTTTTTTTTACGTTCGCTTCTTGGCATCTTTTAGAATCTTTTAAAGCCGTGAACATCGCACTCTTTTTCTGCTGCTCAAATTTCTGTCTGAATTGTCTTCTTTTCTGTGTTTTCGTTAAGTGACAGTGCACAAACTTTTTTCTGTTAGTGAGTGTGGAAAGCATACTTTTAATATTAATATATTTGATAATTCTTTTTTGTGTGTTATTGCAGACTGTTGAATATGCGTTAATGTATTCTCTCTATTGAGTTTGTGATCCCTCTATGTGCTAGTATAGCGCAAGAGTGTGTTGACGGATTGAAATAACAAGCTGTAGCAGCTTGTTCACAGGTCTGATTTGGCCAGTCTGTGTTCGTGTCAAGATGTCAATATGCCTGAATGTAAGCCTGGCCGAGGTCTAAGCTTACATTGCATTTTATTTATAACATGCAATACTTTCTAAGTCGCATTTTTTTGTCAGTCTTTACAGTTTTAAATTTAAAACAAAATTTGAATTATTTCGCAAATTAAATGAAAGTATATAAAAAAAAGAAATCTACGCCAGTATGGCTTTCAAACGTCTTTAAAACTCCTCCGAATCCGCCAAACTGATCTGTAGTAATCCCTGAAGAGCTCAATCCACAAGTTCCCTGAATAAAAGAACGTGTGAACTCACTGAACAAACGCTAAAAAAACAAAAACCGACAAAAAAAACTACGTAATACGCAAACTTGTCTCATATTACACATCATATTATATATGTATCTCGCCTCACACTGTGCTCCACCCAATGACGTCGAGAAAATGTCCAGTTTGCCAACGGCGCTGGGAGATAATAATGTTCAATATCCGCACTGCCTCCCTCCCACCCGTTCGCTGCCCAGAGCACGTTCACACTGTCTCCTGAGTCGGGGTATACTGACGGGCCTAGCCCTCGCTCTTTACCCGCTCAACCCAGTCACGATCCGGGCGAAAACTAACGGCGGTTGTTTCTGGTTATTATTTTTTTCCTATCCTCTCCTTTTTTGTCTTCTCTCTTCTTTTTTTTCTTCAAAGTGACGTGTGGGGAGGAGTGTTGAAATCCCTGATTGTTTGTGTTTAATCAGTTGAGTTTGTTTGCTTGTTTGAGTTTCAAGAAAGAAGAATTTCGGCTCAAAAAGTGGTCATTTAGTGCTGAGGAAAAAAAGCAGGAAAACAGAAAGAGCATTTGCATTTTTGTAGAGAAGTGTGACTCTGCGACGGTAGTGCCAGATCTCCATTAACTATATTAGTTGAAGATATAACGACACGGAGACACATCGTTGTTTGTCTTGGCCAGTGCTGCAAACCCTCCTATGGTCCTCAGTCCTCACAGAATGTACGACATTCTTATTTGTACTGGTCAGTGCTGCAAATCCTCCTGATCATCACAAAATATTGTAAGATATTACAATATTTTGTGTTTGTATTGGTCAGTGCTGCAAATTTTCCCGGTTATCACAAGTTCCTATGTCAGCCCAACAAGGGCGCAGTCAAAGCAGCGTCAAGGAAAATATAGATTAATTCTGAAGGTAAAGAACATTGGGCTTCATCATCGTGGCTTTTGGTATTGAGTGACTGACTGATTTTGTTATAAACTTTCAGTATATTTTCCCTCCCTCTCTCGTTATCTTAACTCCAATCCTTATTCCACTTTCTCTCTCCCCCCCCACCCTTTTCCCCTCTCTTTCTCTCTCGTTCTCCCTCCCTCCATTTTCATTCTCCCTCTAGCCC